TTCAGGTCTGCTGATAATATGACCAACCCAATGTAATCTGTAGACCTTGATCCACTTCACAATATCAGCTTCATCAGAAATGACTAAAATAAATTCAAGCAAACCCTAACACATGATGTATGACAAAAGTATCAATTTTCCTAAATCATCTAGTTCTAACAATGCATTCAAAAATTGCCCAAATAAATTTAAAAATACCTACAAAAAGAACTTTAAAGGCTTGTAAATGCCTCTTAAAATTGTCTCAAAGAAAGAACAAAATGATGTCAAGACAAAGCCAAATAAACAGTTATGTATCTATTAATACAGATATTTTATCTAGATATGAACTGAAATTAAGTTTCTACTTCAATGCACACGCCTATGTAATGGCATTTTGTGCAAAATATGCGTGATACAAAAAAGTATAAAAAGGCAGGAAAAAAGTTTTTAAAATTTATGTTTTTTCTTCATTTTCAATTAGATGAATGCACAAAGAAATAAAAAGGCAATTTTGAAATTGTGGCAAGTAAAATAAAAAAAAACGAATTAAGGCAAAAATACGTGAAATTTGCGCAGCAAATAATAAAAGAAGTGCTTTGCATGTTTATTGTTGTAATCATTAACGATGTTAAAAAAGAATATTTTTAATGGCTTTGCATTGAAAAATTGTAATAAATTTTCTTCCTTTCATTGGAATCATCTGCTCCATAGTCCAATCAATTTGTGTACGGTGATCCATAGGAAATTAATTCCATTGAAACTATAAAAAAAGATAAATTGAGGGAAGAAATAGAAGCTCATCAGTGTTCTCTTAAGAAGTCATTTATCAGCCTTTTTAAATGAAGAAATTTTTCATTTTTTTTTGGAGTTCGCTAAAGATGTTATCTTTGGGTACGGTTTGACTGTTAAATGTGTGCTATATTGGATCTTTATTAGTGCATTGAATGTGTTTAGATTTTATAAAATATTTTTGATTTTATACCCGGAGAGCACAAGTCGGATAATCGAGACGAAATCCTACGCAAGGAAGATATCACGGCGACTTTAGGGCAAATTTTTCGTCATGACGAGAAATTCGCCCTTAGATCGTAACCACGTCGTCCTAGCGCAGGATTTCATCTTGATTATCCGACTTGTGCTACTCGAGGTAGCTATGTCAAAAATACTCAAACAAAGATTGTAGCCTCTTTGGTACTTAAGTGACTTAAAATACTTCTTTGGTATAGTGATCTAGTGATGCTGTGACTGATATCTGAGATACTAATCGATCAATCTTAAGTTCGAGTTCTGTCAACAAGGCAACTTGTCATTATTTTGTATTATTTACAACGATTCTTTGTTTTGCGTTATTTTCTGGAATCGGATACATTTTATAAAAACGTAAGTTATGCAAATCGAGCACTCCTGCATCTTGTAACGAAGCTTAAATCTCTTTATAGTTCTTAAAGACACCAATACAGTATTTTAGATCTATTTATTAACTTTGTGACAATTATTTGCTCAATATCAAGTATCTCCTCATTACTCGAATGTGGAGCTAATTCTCTGCCTCAAAATGCGCTCTAAACTCTACCAAACATGTACCGTACCCCAAATTATCCATCACACAGTCTCTTTCATCTCATCAAAATATTTTGAATTAACAATAAAGAAAATAAGTCAAGAACAGTTGAAGTAGGAACATTCTTAATAATCGATAAATTGATTCTTTTGGTAGCAAAAATCATTAATCATTCCATACTGTTCGTTTGGTTCATTAAAAGAAAGAGCCAAAAACATATTCAAGTGAACCAAATAGAATTGCTATTCACAGACAAAAAAAGGTTAAGTTTGTGAAATCTTAGCTTCGGATATGCCGTAAAATAGAATTTCGATTGCTCTATGTGGGCTGTTAATTCTTGTATTTCTTTTGGTTATCGATTAAAAATGATTTTTTTTACCTGAGTAAATTTTTTCATATAAGAACTCATGCGTGTATGTATACATTATTGATTTCTTATGTCAAAAATCTAGTCTAGCGAAAAAAAGAGACGATAGAAGATTAGAATTGATGTATTTGGGTATGGAATGTGATTATAGCGCATTATTGTTATTATGAATTGAAATTGGGAGCAGATTTAGTAGAAGTTTAATTTTTAAGTAGCTTTGTATGATTTTTGGCTTTATACAACACTAAGAATTTAATTTTTTATTCATTAGCTACTTATAACTACAGTTTAAATTAAGAATCTGAATAATTTCACATCTAGCTAGACTAAACCTATGAATTGTCATCCAAAAGTGTCGCTGGATCTATCCTGATGTGATATTTGAGTAATCTTCACCCCTCAAAAGTGTATTTCTTAATGTTTGCATGCTTTTTTCTAAATAAGTCAAGTAAAAATCAAGATCAAACTGCTATCAAGACATAAAACAATCCTTAAAATGCCCAAGAATCCAAAAAATGTTCCAAAAGTTCACATTTCTTCCTCCAATTTGATCTCATCAATTAAATATTGATTACGGATGTCTTACACAAGAACACAAAAATATTTTTTTCGTTCAAGACACAAAACATTTCACTCAATTATTGTTCCAATTTCTGATTGAATGATTTTTTTTAACAATTTAAAATGCCATTTCTGATATAATTTGATACCCAAAACATGTTGATCGATTATTTGAGAATTTCACCTGACATTGACATAATAGTGAAGGTGCCATGGAGTCAGTAGACGAAAGTCTAATGACCTGCTATGCAGAAATAAAAATTGTTCTAAAGTGAAAAGACAGAAGAATTAAATAAAGAATTTTTCCCAGAACATTGTTTGACTCATCATGTGGGAATAATTTATGTGCTTATATTACAATTTTTAAGACTCGAAAATAAAAATGAACAATAAGGTGTCGTGTGAAATTTAACCAATATATGACTGCTGAAATTATTCTCTTCTTGTTATTTCCTCTTTATGAAGAACTTTAAGACTCATACAGGCCTTCAAGAAAAAAAAAATATATATATTATTGCGGATGTGAGACTTTAATGATATTCACCCCTCTTATGTCTTAAAAAGAAATTAAATGACGTTCATTCTTAGTCTTATTATGCTTTATTTTTTTATTCTATTCACATGAGCATTTAATTGATGGAGATTGTCTTTGTACATTGAGGATAATCGTTATTGAAACGCATTTATACACTTGAATGATGATTGAAATAATTAGTTGATGGATATTATTGTGTTGATTGTTAGCTTGATGGATTGTTGGAATGTTAGTTCTTTGTGGATAAGTTTTTGAATATTTATTAAATTTAATTTGTGTGAGTTCTTGGAATTGTAAAGGGAAAATGAGTTTTTTCTTGCTTTTTATTCAATGTTTTTTGAAAAATTATGCTGGTCCACGCGGTGAAATGGCATCAGTGGCCCAAATGGGAGAGCGTTGGCTTTCCGTGCCAAAAATTCGGGCAGGTATACAAGGATATACTAGCATCTGGATGACTTCTTACGGCATCTTGCGCACACGAATTGAGACTAGGTACATTGTAAGGTACATCAGGTCTTATGACTGACTCGTGACTTTGCAATGTGCAGAGCTTGCAAGTGGCTCGGATCCCACTATAAACTGTAGGTCTAAAGGTTATGGTAAAATTGATTATTTACAAATTGAATCGCAGTACCTCCAGCTGAAAGGCTGGGCCCTTCACACATTATTTTTATTATTATGCTGGTCCGGGAAACAAAAAAAATCTAACGCTAGAATTTTGTCAATTCAGTTTGTTCAGAACAGTGCTGCGCAAACTATTCGAAAGATGATCAGTAAAAAATAGTTTGAAATTGTTTTGTTCCTCGTTAGAGTCCCGATTTAAAGCTAATTGACACGTTAGGCACTAAAAACTTTCATTAATAAACCTCAAAAAATTCTCATCGATTCCCACAAATTAAAACAACTTTTATGAATGAATTTTGCAAAATCCCATAGCTGTAACTCAATATAATCGCCTAAAATCCCAATAAAATGACGAAAAAGAAAAGCTTTAAGATCAAAGATTTATGAAAATATTACCAATAATTTGCATCTACAATCTAGACATTGATATGAAGACAATAAAGAATAAAAGCTAACAATTGACAGCCTCATAATGGGGAAAAAAGATTTATGGAACTATTGAGATGAATGCTTTATTATTTTTTTGTGGAGGTATGAAAAAGAAATCAAATTAGAAGTCATTTTATAACCAAACAAAACAAAATAATAATACAATTCTGAACATCACAAAAAGAACAATGTCATAACAAAATGACAACGAAAAGAATCGGAAAGAGTCTTGTAAATTGAGACCCAACCTCCTCCTCCAATCAAACAGATATTTTTTTTTAAAAAAAAGCAACATGAGTAAATTTTTTTTTATAATTCTGACTTCAGAATTGTGGGAATTCACGCGTCGCTGATTTTCTTCAAGAGTTGCCTTTAAGAAATGACTTTTTTATTTCTCTAGAATCTTCTTATTGTGTTCTTACCTTCTTTATGAGTTTATGTTACCCCTCGCGAAGACGAATTATATTATCATTTGAGGTGATTCTTGGGAATCTACTTGAAATCATTTTACCATAAGAAATTTTTTCAGCGCATTTCCTACGACTTTGTGGGAATATTTTTTTGAAACTTGTTAGAATTATGATTTGGATCATTTGAATGATAAAGCTTGGAGATCGATTATTCATTTAAGCATTTTGTCCATTTTAGAATAAAAAATTAAATGTGCTGTAAGCTCATGAGGAAGACGGTAGAGAATAAAATAATGTTTAAAACCAACACAAGGTCAATGGTTCAAATCCCGTGAAAATTAAATTAAAATTGTATTTAGCTTTGCTTGTGCTTTGCCTTATTTACTAAGCACTTTTTGATAAATCAAAAAAATTTTTTTTTGTGAATTTAAATTCACGCATTTACCAGAACTTATCCAATTTCTATTTTTATATTATTCCAAAAAATGAATTCATACTTAAACCAAATTTCCTTTCCGTCACCATCAACAGGAAAAACCACACAAATGCAGCTTATGTTCAAAATCATTTCCAACACCCGGTGATCTCAAGTCTCACATGTACGTACACAGTGGATCATGGCCTTTCAAATGTCCTATCTGTTCAAGAGGATTCAGCAAGCAAACGAATCTAAAGAACCATCTATTTTTACACACGGGTATGTATCTTCAATCCATTATAGTTTATTATTACATTTGATAATTACCTACGCCGTCATAATATTGTGAATAATCAATTCGTACTGTGAGTGAGCATATCAATTAATTTATGATAGCAACAGAGAGATATGACTTGAGAATACTTATGTTGGTCTCGCAATCGATGAAGAAAAACTTGTTTTTTTTTCTCTTTCCTTTATCGATGATATACAATTTTGTTAATTTGTATCTTTTTGCATTTTATTGCACATTTTACATCGTCAACATTAAAAAAAATATCCAATCGGTTGATGACGATGAATAGAAATCAATAAATTCTAATGCGAAGGACAGTAGCTTGATGGTTAATTTGCTGCCACGCCATACATTCATTAAAAATTACGATCGTTCAATTTTCTGATTCTCTTGCTGATAACAGTATAAGAGATGCTGACGATACCATTCCATTATACTTACGATCTTCTTATTATTAGCAAGCCTTATTCTTCTTCTTCTTCTTAATAATCAACAATAACTTTATATAAATAATGAAAGATATGTGTACTGAAGATAAGTTAAGAAGCTATTGGAAATAATATTCGAGTTGGCAACTGAGTGTTCTTGTGGTTAAGATTATGAGCGAAAAATATTGAAAATAAAGGAGCTAAATTTATGCGAAATTTGTATGAAAACTTGCCAAAACTTGAAGTTTAAGTGCCTTTCTAGTCGAGATTTTATGGCTAAATTCCAGACAGCTAGAGTAGACTTTTAAGCTTATTGTTATTAAGGAGAACTCAAAAAAAAATATTCTATTTTAAATAAAATAGTTAACAAACAAATTGATTTAAAACTTGCCATTCTATAGGATTCGAACCTTATTCCTCATACCTGAGTCAATTTAAATTAAGATTTTGCATTTATTAACCTGAACAATTCGCCTAATTTATTTTGTTTGCGATGTTTAACATTTTGGTGCATTTATAAAGTTGTTCAAGATGTGAATTGTACAATTGCATATTTAAGCAGTTTTATGGCACGGTCATTCAGAAGAGTGTTCAAAGGGATGCTTCTAGACATAACCGGGTTGATATTATAATTATTGCATAGCCAAAACCGTATTTTTGCTAGATTTTTTGATTTCTAGAACATTGAACTATATTGTTGTTCTTAAAATTATTTTAAAAAACTCTTCAACAACCTAAATCAAAACTCTTGTCAAAAATCATTGCAAGGGAAACATTTTCGTTAAAAATATTTAATATTCATGGACAGACAATATGCGGTAAATTCAGTATTGTTCATTATAAATCACCTAAAGCAAGATGTAATGAACAAACTTCTCTTGCTCTCCTTCATAAATGTATATGCATATATGACATCATTTTTAAGCAACTCCCCGTTTACATGTCCCGAAGAGACTGTGATGATATATCAGTAAATTTGTAATCAAACATCTTGATCTTAACAATTCCTTCATACGCTTGCATGCAATTTCTTCACATATTTTTTTTCAGCCTTGAAAATATACTGATAGCGAAGGTCCAAAAAGCAGTAGTAAGCAATCAAGCATCGATGGTATGGAGCAACGTTCAAGTGCTCACAAAATTGAATTAATTTTGCTTAAAGGCAATATATTTTTTTTTGCGTTTATGATACCATCGAAAATTATACCATGTGTGCATGAATTATTTTGTTGTGTTGTGAGACTTGGACGATCTTTATGCGTCCATAATTTTCTCAAATGGAAGTTTGATGGAGGCAAAAAAATTAATTAAAAAATTGTTGTGTGGAATTTTTGGTAGCATTTTGGAGGGAATTTATGAGAGTTTTAACAGACATTGGAATTATTTTATACAGCCAAGCTATATTGATGATTTAATAGCTTTAAAATAGAATTATTTTAATTCAAAGCCTTAAATGAAAACTATCTCAAATTGACAATTAGACTGCAACGTGATTTTTTCACAGATCTTAAAACCCAGCATATCAAATCCCTTAATCAGTCGGATTTAAGGTATAAACGGGTATCAACAAAATATTTAAAAGACGATAGGGATCCATGGGATCCTTTTAGAGAAGGTTTAAATTTTGTTTATGTGAATTTCAGTCCTAGACGAGTTTAAACCTTGTTAAGTCTTCTTCACTTGATCCTCCATTGCCTTTGGCACACAACTCAAAAAATTAAATCCACTGCTTCCAACTCAGCATCAAAATACAGTAAAAACCTGTCAAGATAACTTCAACTGAGATTTTGTTAAAAGCAATTCATCCAAAACATCCATAAGTGCTTCAAAATGTGTATCTATCTCCTGCAAATCCACCCGAAGCTACGTAAAAAAAATTATCATGTTCATGCAGCATTTTTCGTTCCTTCCATTCCCTTTAATTTTTGGAATTATTTATTTATTTATTACTTTTTGCATGTTTTTTTCTTAAAAATAAAATCTTTTAACAAGTCAAACTGACTTCATCATCAACACAGCTTCCGTTGACCAACATTTTAATGAAGTTTCTTCTCTCTTTTATGTACATCATACGCATGTATCTATATGTTATGGAATTGAGTATATTAAAAGAGATTTCAAGCATCTGCTAAGTAATTTTTAAAAGTATCTCATTTCCTCAAAATTCGTAGACGTGCTTAAATGCATTCAAAGATTAATATTAAAAATTCCATCACGTCTAGCTCTCGTATGTAGCGATGTTGAGCATATCGCAACACTTTAATCTTGGTGACCCATGCTCTAGCATTATGGAGAGGCTTAAAACATTTTTCTTTTTCATCTCTTTTTCTTCTTATTTTTATTTGAAATAATAAAATTGAATTGAAAAATATCTTAATTAGCTTAAAAGTGTTTGCCACTGGCTGTCCGATCATGATTGCATTTCGACAGTGAAAGAGATGGAAAAAAAGGCTTAAAATATTCATTTTTTAGAGTTTCGTATGTCAAATAGATATGTAATGTACATCACATAAGTTTAAAAAAAATTGAAATATAAGAAAATACATGAGAAGAAAGGTGAACAAAGATTAATGGTCCACGACTGTCAGTTGTCTTAAAACAGTCAAATAATCCGAATATATTGGCTTCTCTTTTTTGGCCTTTTTATTCCTCATCTCGTTCGTTCGTTCGTCCGATGAATAAAGAAAATACAGTAAAATAAGTCACCAAATTGTCGATTCATTCAATAGATATGGATTGGATGTAGGATATTTTAAAATGTGAACGATAAAAATCAGTTAATATAAATTGAATGAGAATGGAAGTGAGTAAGAAAGTCAATGGAAGATGGACATGATGGAGTGCATTTTTTGGGCGAAATTATTTAAGTTTTATATTTTTCCATTAGCTTTCAAGATGCTGAAAGGCATTTATTATGTTAAGGATACAAGAGACATGAGAGTGCCTTAACAACTTCATTCAGATTGTATTTCAGTTTTAAAAAAATAAAATTTGAATTTAGTAGATTCAACCTTTATAATTTAAAGACTTCCTAGTCTAACAACCAAAGTCAAATCTAAAGAACCATCCAAAAAACCTCAAAGTGAACAACTTAATTTACCACCTCGCTCAAAGACTTCCGCTAAAAAATGAATTAATGAATAAATGAATGAAGAAAAAGTTTTGTAAAAAAAAAGGCATCAAGAAGAAAATCCAGTAAGTCAAATGAATAAGACAAGGCACAAAACGAGCGAGAAGAAAGAAATAAATGTTGGTAATTTCAAATATTCATGTAGCCAACATTTATAAATATTTAAATTTCCTGATATGTTAAATTGCTTCCAATATTTTGAAACATATTTTCTTTATTATAAATTACTATTCACGTCTCATTCACGATCATTTCATGTTCATCGTCATATATTTTAATTGGAATCGCAATACCCGATGTAAACAGAGTGTATTGAAAGGAATAGAAACACACATTATATGTCAATCCAATATTAAACGAGTAACATTAATTAACACATAATGGAATCGTCAAATGCTGTCGAAATTCAATTGGAAACGCGCTTTTCTCTATTTTTTTTATAACACATTATCTCATCGCAAGCACTTCACAATATCCGGTGTCTCCATAGCTCTCGCTTCTTCTTTTATTGCCACTCATTGAATTGGAGATGAAAAAAAAAATTAATGACATTGTAATTAAGATAAAGAAGAAGATGACGAAATGAAGGTTCTAATTAAAGCTATGTGAAAAGCTCTTTTTCCTCTCTACAAATGTGACTTGACAATAAGTAATTTTAAGCATTTAATTCATTTATTGGACATTACGAATTTCTATTTTTGATTTTTGATGACCTGAATGTGATGAGATTTTATGTGAGTTTTAATGGCTGATTTTATTGATGGGAGTTAGAAATTGGGAAGATTCTTAAATTTTTATTGTGGCTTATTATAGTTAAAAAGTGTCGATACTATTAGAAGTTGTTGAACTATGATAAAAAGTAGATTTAAATCGACAATATTGTGCCATGATGTTGCTACAATGTTATTTATGTTCATGCACCCCCTTCCCTCCGCAAGAATTTTTATTGCTGCACTTACTTACTTACTTCGCTAGTCTTACAGATCAATTGTGATCCATGACCTCCCATAGTTGACGCCTATAACTAGTTCTTTCTCTGGCTAACGTCTGCCAATTTCCAACACCAAGCGCTATACAGTCTCTATCAACAGCTTTCTTTCACGAGTTCTTTGGCCGTCCACGTGATCTCTTGCCATCTACGAAGTCAGATTTAAAGACCTTATTTAATGGAGTTTCCACAGGTCTCCTTATAATATGTCCAGCCCACAGGTTTTTTTATTGCTGCACCCCTTAGACATTTTTGTGATGCCAATGTCTGCCAATGATTTGTCTTTTCCTCCTCTATCTTGCATACTGTCCAAACAACATCTTGCCAATCATCAATTCCTTAAAATTGAACCTAAAACCTTAAAATTTAGCACAGTTAAACCACATCGCAAGTCAAAACATTTCTGAAAAAATTCTACAACATTCCACCGTCCAGTAG